ATGAGTTGAAAAAACAAAAACCCTCACTTTCGTATGAGTTATAACGCTGATGAATTAACCTGGAAAAAAAAAAACCCAATTTCTTATTAGTTCTATCATAGACCAATGAATCTAGAACAACCGCCGGGAAAGGAGCAAGATTATCAGGTCAACGAACATCGCAAATTTGCTCGAAATGTCTACAAGCCATCGAATGTTCGTTTTGTTCAACATGTCAATGAACCTCACCTTCTCATCAATTAAATTATAATATTTCCTTAATATTTAACAGTGAATTCTTATTTAATTATTAGGTTTAAGTAAAATTATAAGTGCTATACAAGAAGCTGCTACCAGCTAAATGCGAACATATATTGGAATATCAAAGATTAAAATCTATAACATATACGAAGAAATGATACTTTAGCTGAGATTCAGACTTTTCGGTCGTTCATTAAATTGCAAATATCTTAATTCAACGCCACAACTGGAACTCATAAAAAGACAAACCTCATTTCCCCCGACCTTTATGAGTCGTTCAACTTCACTTCTTACTGACACTATGTTTCTAAACAACTTTCTTAAAAATCAGATTTTCAGCGTAACTCTCGTTTTCCTGCCATTCATAAGCTCCATCAGACAGTGTTTATCGATCTAAACATTCCATCACAATGATGAAACTTACGCTATTAATAACCTACAGTACAGCACTGTTGTAGCTTATGAGAGGTACTGTAACACACCGTAAAGCCACAGTAACAACGCTGCAAAAACAATCTACAGTACAGCGCTAGTTTAGATTATAAGAGACACTGTAAGGAAGGTACCGCGAAGCTACAGTAAGAGTAGCGCAGAAGATATAGTAAAACTACAGCAGGGGTATCGCAGAGCCAAAGTACAGTAATCCGATGGTATGGTAGGCCCGCGAATACGGTAGGCTGAAATACCGTGAGCGTGGCATGGATTCGTAGCCTGCCTCTGGCACATTCATGGAAGAGGAAAATATCGATCAAAACAAAATCATGCGAGCGCCATTTGACCATAATTTACCGCAAAAAACATAATTTTTCTTCCTTTTTTCTTTTTTTCCAAAAAGAAACTTCTGGAAGCATCGCAAAAAGCACATGCTTTACAAAAACAACATACTTTGCTTCTTCATGCACTTTTGCTTTTCTGATCTTCAAGTCGGCCAGCATGCTCTTGCGAAGGAAACGTCCCACGCACCATTCAATGCCCCTTTACACTGAGCTGTCGCTGCAATTTGCTGAACAATTCTTAAATCGTGGTACTAATCATGAGAATGGTGATATTAATCGTGATCATTTCGCTCAAAAGAATAAGAAGAAAGAAAAAAGTACAACGAGTAAAGAACAGGTATAAATTCAGAATTTATAATTTTGTAACTTTATAATTTTACAGCTTTTCTGTTTCTTCTACTTCTATTTGTTTACGGTTTTTCATTTCTTCTGTTTTACATCTCTTTTAT